ATCAATTTTCACATAAAGAAATAGACTCGAGGTACGATAGTAGAGTGTCAAATGAGATCTCCCTAAAATTATTTTGTGGAACGATTTCTAAAATAATTCCAAGAAGAATTACAAGAAAAACTCTCATCTAGGGTAAGAGTCTAGATGAGATGATCATCACTAGGACTCAACTCTATCAACGAGATCTCTAATAGTAAATTTAATGAGAGTCTGTGCTTCTTGAGGAATACACTAGTATCTCCATCGAGAAGTTGAGCCACCGTGAGACGAGGCCAAGATGACATAAAAGAAGTAAAAGAGACTAAGAGAATGTCCGCAAGCCAAGTGTCATACCGAACACTGATAGTTCCTCGTCTCACTTGCCATCAGATTAAATGCCTTATCTACAACCAATGTCTTTGTCAGTCTGCCCATTGCTTCCCTCCTTTTATGTCGGTCAATTGGTTAGCCCAATCGCTGTATTTGACTAGCACAAAGGTTCCTAAGGGTGATCTCGTCGTCCTCATCTGCCATACGAGTTTCTTCTAAAGCACGTCGAGGATATTCTCAGGGCGTCTAATCCTTAGGCCACTCTCATCCATCAGTCGGCATGCTTTCTCCTAAGAAACTTGGTATTGACGATGAGGCCTGTTGAGTTGACCATCTCATAAGAAGGAGGTACAAATCTGCCTCACAGATCGTAAGACGGTGTCCAGTACCCCATGTACCGCAAGTAGGTGCAAGGGCATACTCATGAGGACATGACGTATCAATTAGATGCGACTACCTAAGGATAGAAGCTCAAGTTTTCATCCGTCAAGTTTCTTCCTCAACTTGTACAAAAGGGAATCAAAGTAATAAATCCGAGTGCGTCCGAAGAAGATGGGGCATCCAAGGTAATCAAACGGTAGATGACCACGCGAGAACCGTATTAGATTCTCTATGCATCATATGGTGCTAATGGTGATATAAGATGTCATCATAAAGTTACTTTTCGAGGCATTGATGAGTTGACTTGCAGCTCACTCGTAGCTCGAGATGATAGTTATGAGTCCCTTAATAGATGCTTCAGACCCATTAAGGAAAACTATCATATCATCAACAAACAAAAAATGCGATATGATCGGGCAACCCCTCTTCGAATGATATGGTTGGATAAGCCCACGTGTCACCACTCAAGAGAGGGTTCGACTAAAGACTTCTTCAACCAATATGAAGAGAGTGGGTGATAGGTGATCACCTTGCCGTAACCTTTGCGTGGCCATGAAGAAAGGTGTGGAAGTGTCATTCATCAATAAGGAGAAATGGTTCTCTCTAATGCATGTATCGACTAGGTCAATGAACTCATCGGTGAATTCAAAGTGTCGAAACACTTCAGTAAGGAAATTTTACTCGATTCTATCAAAAACCTTTTCCATGTCTAGTTTGATGATGACGTTAGAACCTTAGATGTCTTGGTTAAGGGATTGTGTTAGTTCGTGAACTAGTATGATGTTATCATGAATGTGTCGTTCATTAACAAATCCACACTGCTCTAGAGGATATGAGCCTATCAAGAAAAATACTCAATCGTACTGTAATGATCTTGAATACAACTTTATAGCACACATTACAAAGATTGATAGGCTGAAAATGTCTAAAAGAAATTGGGTTAACCACCTTTGGTATGAGTGCAATAAAGGTGGCTTTTCAACTTTGTGAGAAGATTTTGCAGCGGAAGAATTTTTTGATGGCATGAAGTAAATCTTTTCCGACAATGTTCTAACATGTTGAATAGAAATCTATTGGAAAACCATCAGGCCCAGGTGCTCAATTTGTACTCATTGAGAAGATCACATTTTTGATCTCCTCCCTAGTAAGTATGGTTATAATGGATGAGATCTCCTAGTGGGTAACTAAAGATGGAATTGATGAGAGTATATCCTCAAAGATCTCAATCGGTTGGGAAGCAAGAAGGGTACGAAAGTATACAATTTCTACCTCCTGCATACGAGATCGGTGTGCGATCGAGGCATGAAAGAAACGTGTGTTCTTATCATCCTCGTGTAGCTAGTGGATACGTGATTTTTGGAGAGAATATATCTCTTATCGTCGCGCAGTCTCCTCTAGTTGCTTATTCACTCGAACTCATTTCACCCAAGTGTCGTTAGTCTATCGAGCCTGCTGTTGTCTCTCGACCCCAGCTAGCTCTTTCTTCAACTCTTCTACTTGGGTGTGGATATTCCTCTATACATGCCGGTTCCACCATTTAAGGTGAAGTTTGAGATTCATTAGTTTGTAACTGAGGTTCTCTATAGGAGAGTCTGAGATATCTCCATGCCAATGACTCCGCAAGAAGCTTTGGAAGCCTTCGTGTCGAGTCCACATATTTTGAAACCTAAAAAGAGGTCTAGGGGTACTAGTTCTCAAGTCGAGGAGAATAAGGATCGGCATGTGATCTGACCTATAGGGAGGTAGGAGTGTGACTAATATGAGACATTACACTATTGCAATGTTATTAGTGAAGCAGCGATCGATGTGCTCATATATCTTTGCACCTCTTTGTCTCTCGTTGCACCACGTCCAGACCTCGCCAAAAGTAAGAGGCTCGATGAGGGTCGCGTGAAAAATAAAATCATTAAACATCTCCATGTGACGGGCCCGAGGGACTTGTCCCCCTTGTTGTTCAGTGATTTTACGTACGCAGTTGAAATCTCTAGCTATGAACTAAGGAGAATCAATTAGTATTGGATAATCCCGTGTATATCGTACTAGGTTTTCTCAATGAGTCTCACGATCTTGGTGTCTATGTGAAGCATAAACGATCGAGAATATAAGCTCTTGGCTAGAGCCTAGTACCCTCATCGTAACATGTTGTGGTCCCTCAACTAATAGTTATAGAGAATATGATCTCTTCCAAAATAACCAGATGTGGTTAGTAGGGTTAGAATGAAACTGATCCATGCTTAGGTGTCTAAGTAATGGGTGAATGTGATCTGATGGTATCATAGGTTCAATAAGCCCGACAAGGCCTAGTTGGTGCTTATTGATGAGTTCAATAATGTGAGACTATGTTTTGAGGTTGCCCAACCTTCGACAGTTCCAAATAAGGCTAGGTATTATGAGTGGTGGTAGCTATTGTCACGAGCCCTAGATCTCGTGACATATGGAGAGCGTCGTTGTAAAGTCCTGTCTACCATCTTTGTCTGATATCCTCTTTAAAGGTCAATGCCCTCAATGGGGAGATCCAATGAAGACTTAGATCTAGAGTCTTCAACACTCGATGTAGAGCGCCCACTAGTGTCCTCCACTAAGGATGAAAGAGAGATTACTCGACGATTCGTCGAGCATTCTCCTTTGCTAGAGCTCTCACGCTCCCTCGAGCTCTCTAAGGGTGTGCTCAATAGTAGATCCGGAGCTTGGGGTGGCAGGGAGGGAGAAAGAGAAAGAGAAGGAGGGTCTAATAGGGATGTACTTGGTGGACTCTTATTGGGGACCCTATTGAGTGATGGAAGTAGGTGGGAGGGTGGGTGAGGTGGTGTGGGAGGGGGCAGACCTAGGGGATGGGGAGCTAATAGGTAATAGAAGATGTGAGAGTGTAGAGGGTCTAACGGATGAAGGGAAGCTAGTTGGTGACAGATAGGTAGTAAGAGTTGAAGGTTTAATGGATGGAGAGGAGCTGGTTAAAGGTGAATGAATAGTAGGCCCCCTCTGTTTAGGGGAGTGTCGTCGAACTCGTGGGCTGATATTGTTCCCTATGATGGGAACATTGTCAGCCTCCTCGAACAAGGTACCTAGAGCCTCAAAAACATTCGATGTCTCGACTATCTTCCCCTTACCTGTTGGTATGGGGGGAGTTGGGCCTACTACCATCTTCCTTCATTTTCGGGTGGATGTGGATGCTCGAGAGATAAGATGTGACACCGATGTAGGTGGGGTTGTCCTCCCAGGACCGACTAGAGGGACACCAATCTAGACTGACAGCGGTCGAGAGGGAGCACGCGAGCTTTGTATGGGAGGGCGGCTAGGTGTAGTCTTTCCTGCCTCAGTGATATAATCATCATATGACATGGGTGATAAATAAATCACGGTAGACTCTAAAGATGATGGGGTGGTCTTATGTCGATAAGTGTGGATGGTGTGTCCAAACACTGTGTAGTGGGTAAAAAAATAGAGTAGTCTCTCGTATATAACTATTTGATAGATCTTCTCATCCCCATTCTGCACAATGATCATGCGTTGAAGGGGGGCCAAGAGGTCTATCTCTACACATACTCATGCATAACCTGAGCGGTTAAACATTTTAACGCCTGTATCTAGGCGTATAAATGTACCAACTGCATTTGCCAAAGACTCAAGTGCCTTAGGTGTGAATAAATGTGCTGGTAGACTAGGAAAACCTATCAAAACTGGGATGGAGTGTGGTTGTTTCCCTCGGAAAATACCGTCTGTCGGTAGGGTCCATCTATATGTATGCATAATGGTATCCTGAATCTCTCATGTGGTCCTACTCCAAGCTTTCCGATAGTCAGCCTCGAACTCAAAACGGATAAAGACGCTCTGATAATCACAAGTGCTGATGACTATCTTACCTTAAAAATGTCTAGGGGTCAAATAGATCCTATAAATATCATCTAGGTGGGGACGTTTTGTAGAGAAGCGCCCAATCAATGAAAATTAGAAGGCCTCCGCCAATTGGGAGACCTTCTTCGAGGAAAATGAGACTATTCTCATTCACCCTTCATCAGTGTAACCCCGTGACGGTATTCTGTCATCATAAGTGGGGTGTAGCTCGCGTCTCGATGTATTCACCACTGTAGGAGTGGGTTGTTGTCCTACTAGTTGCTGGGCCTGAGACTTGGCTTGGGCTTGGGTGGGCTGGGTCAGCTCGGCGTGGGCCTGATAGCTCTAGTTTTAGCGGTTTGGGCCGGTAGGTTTGGGGCTTGGGTGGGCTGTGCTTGGGTGTGCTGGGCCAGCTCAGTTTGGGCCTGAGCGGCCTAGGCCGGTGGGTCCTAGGTCGGTTGGGGCTGGGCCGGTGAGGCCTAGGCCGGCGTGGTCTGGGCCGGTTTAGTTTGGGTCGGTGCCTGGGTCCTAGGAGCCTTGGCCTTTGGACCCTTGGGCTGCGCGGTCTTGGTCGGCACGATCGTGCTCCGCGCAACCTCGGCCGGTTGGGCCTGAGACGGAGCCGCCACGGCCAGTGTGGCTTCGGCTATTGTGGCCTGCTCCGGCTCAGCCTTGGTCTGGGCCAGTACGCTGTGAGCCGGCGCGGTCTGGCCTCCGGTTGTTTGGGCTGCTAATGCCCTTTCTGACGCAGATGACATCATGGGCGTCGCACACGAGAGAACGGCGCCCACAAAAAGTTGGGGCACCGAATCCGTTCCGTTGATTTCAATTTCAACGGACGGATTTAAGCTCCCGTTGGTGCCCTGGCTGTCAGTTCTCGCTAACGCAAGCACAGACACCGTAATCGAGGAAACGGCATCAGCGGCTTGCGGCGCCTTTTCCTCTAGTAAATCTAGTTTGTTGATCTGTAGATCAACGGTTGAAATAGCAGCGCCGGCTGGCATCGCCGCGATCTCTGGGACGAAAAATCCTGATCGTCCGTCAATCGACTGTTCAGGCGATCGATGGTTCCGATTTTTGGACCGTTGCCAAGCCCAAAGCGTGCTTCTTCCCTCGATTTTTCATCAGCCGGACACGGGTCTGCCGATGAAAATGATGATTTACTCATCAACGACGCATCAAAATAAAATGATCAAGAAGGGAAAGTTGTAAATCAGGAAAATACGATTCTACTGATATAAGGATATAATATTTCAGCCAAGTAAATCAGTAGATATTACCTCGAGAATATAACGTTATGAAAATGACCTCTCGAGAGAGAAATCGCGAGACCGAGAGCATCAATCAACCATTTTCCACATTTGATGACTCGATGATGATGGTTTCCGACTTACAAATCGAATGAACCAAGTTTCAGCATGATCTGAGGTCAGATGGGAGAGATCTCGCCATTTGAATGTGATGTTGATGAGAGAAAAGCTCTCGTGAGGAGAGAGAAAAAAGTTGAGTAAGTGAGATAATTGTCGCACCCTTAGGGTTTAGGGTTTAAATAAGTATTTATCGCACCCTTAGGGTTTAGGGTTTTTTTTTTTTTTTTTGGGATAATTGTCTTGGGCCGAACTTCTTAGGAGGTCACCCATCCTGGTACTTCACACACTCAATCACTTTGGTGCCTCTCAACACATTCTTTAGAGATAAATATCACTAGTGACTCTCGACATGGTGCCTCTCAGCACGATAATGTAGTGGTGCCTTTCAGTACATGCAGAGCAAGCACCTCTCAGCACGATGGCTCCCACCTGAGCATGCTTAACTCCGGAGTTCTTATGAGATTTGGTGGCAACTCTCTCACTTAGGGGGGTTAAGGTTTAAGGTTTAGGAAATTATAATTGATATATTTTTTGTGCGGCCCTCATCAGGCCTCCTCAACAACAGCACCAAAATTTGACGTGACTCAGTCGTTATATATTAAATCACGTAAATATAAAATTTATAAAACTAGAAAATACGAATTTTATGATATTTAAAAGTATTTCTGAATAAATATATTAATTATAATTTAATAAAACTTCTAAAAATAATGATAAATTTTCAAGTCGATCATAAGGATGTAATATAATATCTGGTAATTATTCAGAATTTTCCTCAAAGAATATTATTTTCTATGAATTTTATACTAGTAAATGAAAAGGAAATATATTTAAAATTTATGAAAAAGGAAAATAAGGGTGCGGACATTAGGATGACGTCAGCACCCAGTGAACGCAAATCGGGCAAAAATAGAGTTCCGCTCGGTGATTCTTACGTAAGTGATTACAACCGATTTAATTAATCAAATTAAGATTTATAAAAGCTGGAAGAATCGTAATTGAACGAAGTATATTTTGGTAAATTAAAATCACACAAATTATCACTAAATGAAACGTATAGTAAGTTGAATGTAGGAAAATAGACTTTTGACGTCACGACGGCGATGCGTCGTCAATGCACCGGAATTTTGAGTGTTCGGGAAGATCATTGTGTAGTGTCCATAGCCTCGAAGGCTTTCCTTGGACAAAGATGACGTGGGCAATCTCTAGATTTCCTTGCGAAGTCAGATTAATGAAATTAGTTGTCAAATCATCTCCGGCGGCTATCATCTGGCGAAGCAGAAAAATGACGATTTTGCGGCTCTTCGACAACTGTCACTCGACGGAGACAAGTTGGATGGAGGTGGGGCGTGTGTCAGGGAGCTTCATCTTTAGGTCCGTGCAGCAAGAGGAGACTCTTCATCGCATCTGGTACACTCTCAAGAGGTGGCGGCTCGTTTCCCAGCGGATCGTTCTCTTGCTGACGACGGCTTGTTCCTTGATCAATCGGAGATGATTTACTTGATGGATTCGCGATTCTTTTATTGCGAATTGTTCAACAATTTTAGTAGTAATGCTCCGCGAATCGCGTTGACGAGATTTTCGTCGATGATTTAGCGATTCTGGTTGCTTAATCTTTCACCGACGATCTGCAGGAAAGTCGTGATAGTCAGATAAAAAAAAAAGAGTTTTGGCTTTAGGAGGCTTCGAACCCGTGCTAGTTGCCCGCCCTTTCTGGGAAGGTGACGCGGGTTTAGTCTTACATCGCTTGTGCACCGAATGTTCAAGTGAATATATAGTAATGTTACATTTGAAGGCAAGTCCCTTTCTCGCGCGTGTACGACCACTCTTTGCCTTACAGCCGGCTGGCCACCAATGACATGGAAGAGGAGTGGCGCACACGTGCCCCTATCGGTCCAAGCCGCTCGAGCCCCTGCTCGCGGCTACCCCCTAACTGCACTTCTGACCCGCTTGCGGGCCCGGTTGGCCGGTGGGTCCCTCATTTTGCTATATTTTTATTTTAATTTATTTTTCTTCATTTATCTCAAAAGTAAGACTATAAAAATCATATAAAATCATTTAAAATCACATAATTACCCGAAAATTCACATTAATCAACTGAAAACCACTTTTCACAGTTTAACATAAATATAAGTCTATTTATTATGAGTTAAGGCTAAAACTATATTATTTACTAATTATTAACTCATGATAATGAAGACTTATCACCTTTCTAGTGTTGCACACGCTTAATCCCTCTAGTCAAGATCTTGCTAGTACCATCAGTTGCCGTACTTCCTTTAAGTAGGTAGGGGACCTTTCACCCCACGAGGAATGACTTGAGCTCTTTTTGTAACTCTTTTCTTTTCTCTTATTCTCTCTCTCTTCTTTTCCTCTCTTTTTTTTTTTTTTTTTTTTGAGGGCCTCTTCTTTCACCCTCCACTAATGCCCATGATTTGGTGTACAAGGGTAATTCCCTTTGGAGTATTAGGCTAGTGATTATGGGAAGGGAAGTAGGTTGCCCCCTTTTTTTTATGTTTTATTTTTTTATTTGTGAGGGCCTTTTCCCTCACCCTCCACTAATTGTTTATGATGGACTAGTGATTCTGGGAAAAGAAGTAGGCTGCCTCTTTTTTTTTTTTGAAGAGAGAGAAAGAGAGGGAGAAAGAAATAGAGAATTGAGAGAGAGAGAGAGAGGAGAGAGGGTCAATCCTATGGATATAGATCCTTACCTTCTCATGGGTTCAAGCTGGCTGATGGTACTAATGAGATCTTGAGAGAGGTGCTAGGTTGGCGATTCACAACTAGTTTGGCAGGTCTGATGTGCTATAGACCTATAGTTCAAAAGTTGGCAGATGCCAGCATGTGCTGATAGTTCTATGTGTCCTCACTACTTGAGGGTGGTGATAGATAGTAGATGTGAGGTGATTATGAGGAGAGTAATGATTGGAAGTGGTGTACCCGGGTGGATTGCGATGTGCGTTGTTGTCTGTCTTGTGTTAATAGCCAAGGTGCGTTCCACATCGGTGATATGTGACGAGTGCCATGATGATGTCGTGGTTGTGGCGTATGATAGACCTGAAATTAGAAACAAAGGAAACATGTACTTGTATCTCTGTTGTGGTCTTCAGTGGCCAATGGTAGCCGCCCTTGGTCTCCTTCAAGCAATATGTCACTACCGTGGAGGGGCTGGTAGTGGAGTGCGGTGTATGCGTAAAGAGGGTATGCCGAGTCACTCAAGTCTATGAGCACCTCGGGCTTCGAGGGACATGTCTTGCCAAGAAGAGAAGACTGTCCTTCGATGCGATTTGACTCCATGCGTAGCAAGGGCGTTGGCCGTCTGATTCCCTTCTCGGAACTGATGCGTAATGGTTGTGATGCGCCCTCGACATCGCATGATGTCTGTCCAGATATTCTTGAGCCTCCAATGAGGACAAGAGTCTGCACGTAACATGTCCACTAACACTTTGGAGTCAGATTCTAGGACAATATTAGTAATATTTTGCTCCTCACAAAGAAGCAAATCATCTCGTATTACCATAGCCTTTGCCACAGTGTTAGTCCGTATATTATAAAAGTTTGAAAAGGCAAAGAGAATGCATCCTGTACTATCGCGTAGGATACCTCCTTCAGATGGTCCTGGGTTGCCTTGAGATGCTCCATTGACGTTGAGTTTCCACCGTCTAGCACTCGGTGGTGTCCATCTAATAGATCGGATAATAGTCCGGGTCTGTGTAGATATGATATGGAGTCCTCAAAGCCCAAAGGCCTCACAAATAGAATGCGAGCGTTTCGTTTTGTTTGGCACTAAGGAATGAGTACTCCGAAGCCATTGTGCTACATGCCTCATAATCTCTGTGGCACGCATCACTTGGCCTGCAAATCGAGATGAGGTACGTCCCTTCCATATTTCCCATAACATATATGCTATGGAGATACGGATGAAGGGACTAACCTTGACACTCGTCGGTGAGTCAATGACTCTCCTAAAGACCTCTAGTGGTGGTCTTGTAGGTTTGTATGAGAGCGTTGGAAGCCAATTCTCTAGAAGTTGACGCCAACACTCGACATCGATATTACTATGGAAGAATAGATGTTCCATACTTTTGTCCGTTGCGATGGAGCAACAATGACATCTCCTTTCCACCTCCTGATCGGTGACAATCACTCGATCATTGGTGGGTAGTCCTTGATGCATGAACTTCCACAGGAAGAACGAAACACGAGGTGTGATGGCCGGATGCCATATGAGATTTTCCCAAAATGTCTTTGGGGAGTGGTTTCTAAAGTGCTCCCAAGAGGAGCTACAAGAGAAATTGCCATCTATGGTAAGTGTCCAGATGGGTTGGTCCTTAGTAGGACTCGTCTTAGTCATGGTGATGGCTGGCAACAAGTCCAATGGTAGTCCATGCCTCTCAATAAGTAGATGAGTGTCTCCTTGGAGAAGTTGGGCTATCGTCAAGCGAGGCCAAGAGGATGTGAAAGTGGCAAAACTGGCCAATGGTGTATCCTCTAGCCAAGTGTCGTACCAAGCACTGATCGCGCCTCACCCCACTCGCCAACGAATGAAGGGCACCATCTCCAACCAATGTCTCTACCAGTCTGCCCATCGTTTAACTCCTTTGATGTCGGCTGGCTGTCGAGCCCACTCGCCATATTTGGCTGACACAAAAGAGCCTAGCACCAATGGTGTGGTCTTAATCCTCGAAATGAGTTTCTTTTGAAGCATGTTGAGTACATCTTGAGGGCGCCTAATACCTAGGCCACCCTCATCCGTAGGTTGACATGTTTTCTCCCAAGAAACTTGGCGTTGGCGATGAGGTCCCTCAAGTTGTCCATCCCAAAGGAAGGACGTGCATATCCGTCTAATAGTCTATAAGACAGTGTCTGGTACCTCATGGACTGCCAAAAGGTATAATGGCATCCTCATGAGGACGTGGCGTATCAACTAGATTTGTCCTCCAGGGGATAGAAGCTGTAGCTTCCATCCCGCTAGTTTCTTCCTCCACTTGCCCACTAGGACATCAAAATAGTGTATGCGCCTACGGCCGAGGAAGATAGGACATTCTAGATAGTCAAAAGGTAAGTGTCCACGAGAGAACCCTGTTAGGCCCTAGATGCATCGTATGGTCCCTATGGGGGTAGAAGGGCCTACCATGAAGCTACTCTTCGAGGCATTTAAGAGTTGACCTACAGCTCGTTCATACCTTGAGATAATACTTATGAGCCCTCTAATGGATGTCTCACATCCATTGAGGAAGAGTATCGCATCATCAGCAAAGAGGGAGTGTGAGATGATTGGACAACCCCTCTTCGAGTAGTATGGTCGGATAAGTCCTTGATTGATCGCTCGGGTGAGGGATCGACTGAGGACTTCTTCGACCAAGATGAAGAGGGTGGGTGATAGTGGATCACCTTGTCGTGAACCTCTCATGGCCGTGAAGAATGGTGTGGAGCTACCGTTCACCAATAAAGAGAAATGATTCTCCCTAACACATGCATCGACTAAGTTAATGAGGTCCTCGGTGAACCCAAAGCATCTAAGAACCTTAATGAGGAAACTCCACTCTATCCTATCAAAGGCCTTCTCCATGTCTAATTTGATGATGATGTTGGAGCCTCGACAGTAATGGCCAAGGGACTGTGCTAGTTCATGTACTAGCATGATGTTATCGTGAATGTACCGTCCCTTGACAAATCCGCATTGCTCTAGAGATATAAGTCTATCAAGGAAACTACTCAATCTACATGTAATGATCTTAGATACAACTTTATAACACACATTACATAAACTAATAGGTCGAAAGTCTCTAAATGAGGTTGGGGTAGTCACCTTCGATATAAGTGCAAGGAAGGTGGCCTTCCAACTCCGTGTAAAAACTTTACGACGAAAGATTTCCTTGATAGCCTAGATGAGATCAGTGCCAACGATATCCCAGCATGAAATGTAAAAATCAGTTGGGAAACCATCAGGCTTGAGTGCACGATGTCTGCTCATAGAGAAAACTACTTCCTTAATCTCTTCTCCCATGAGTATGGCCGTCGTGAGAGAGCTCTCATGGTGAGTGACCAATGATGGGATCAAAGTGAGCATATCATCAGAGATCTCAATCAGTTGAGAGGTTAAGAGAGTACGAAAGTACTTAACCCCTGCCTCCTACATGCGGGAAAGGTCTTAATCATATGTCTTTAAAAGAGAGGTATAATCTGAACGTGAGCGGTGAGCGACCAAGGCATGAAAGAAACGAGTGTTTCTATCACCCTCTTATAACCACCGGATGCGTGATTTCTAGAGATAGAATAACTCCTGTCGTCGCACAACCTCATCAAGTTGGTCGCTCACTCTACTCTTCATTTCCCAAGCAGCATCTGAATATCGAGCTTATAGTAGTCTTTCAACCTCCGCTAACTCCTTTTGCAATGCATCAACTTGGGTATGGACATTCCCATAGATATGTCGGTTCCACCATTTAAGGTGGAGTTTGAGATTCCTTAGCCTATAGCTAAGGTTCTCCATAGGAGAATTTGAGATATGTTCGTACCAGTGATTCCATATGAAACTCTGAAAGTCTTCATGTTGGAGCCACATGATCTGAAATCTGAAAGGGGGTCTGTGGGTGCTCATACTTTGTCTAGGGAGTATGAGGATCGAGGTGTGATCTGACCTATAACGGGGTAATATCGTGACTAATATGAGATGTCGCACCATGGCAATGTTGTTGATAAAGCAGCGATCGATATGCTCATAAATCAAAGCATCCCCTCGATTGTTGCTCCACATTCATGCCTCACCTGATGTAAGTGGCTCAATAAGAGCTAATCAAAAAATGCAATCATTGAACGTCTCCATGTTGTGAGCCCTAGGGGTCTGCCCACCTTGACGTTTACTAGTACTATGAACACAGTTGAAGTCGCTCACTAGGTACCAAAGAGACTCAACTAGTGCAGGGTAGTCCCTCATGTACTGAACTAGGTCCGCCCAAAGAGTTTCCCTTTCTTTAGATCTATGTGATGCATAGATGACGGAGAAGATGAACTCTTGGGTGGGATCTCGAACCGTCATAGTGATATGTTGAGATCCCTCAACTAGCAACTCCATAGAGTATGGTCTAGTCCAAAAGAGCTAGATATGATTCGTGGGGTTGGAGTGAAAATGATCCATACCCAATTGCCTAAGTAAGGGTTGAATACGATTTGATGATATCATGGGCTCAATGAGTCCTACTATACCTAGTCGGTATTTTCTGAGAAGGCTAGCTATATAGAATTGGATTTCGAGGTTACCTATACCCCGACAATTCCATATGATGCTAGGTATCATGATCTAATGAGTGGCCCCACGAGTCCTAGATCTCATGGAGTAAGGTGAGCGTCGAGTGAGTTGTGTGGTCCTAGCGTCCGTCTGATAGCCCTCTTGTAGGTAGGTAGTCTCAAGGTCAGTCTTAGATTCGCCATCCTCATGGGTACTAGTGTGTGGCCACTAGTATCATGAACACTAGATGAGGAGGATGGGTGCAGTGCTTGACTATTCGTTAAGCACTGTCCTCTATCGGGGCTCTCCCTAGAATCAGTGGGTGGTGGATCAAGTATAGGAACCTGATTTGATGAGTGTGGTGGGGGAGAGGGGGGGAGGGTATAAGAATCAGAAGGGGGGGCTACGTAAGATGTACTAGTAGGAGGTTTGCTGGGGGTAGGCCCTCCTAGTAGATCCTCGATGAGGATCTGAGGGGGATGGATAGTGCCCAAGCCTATACCCTTAGAGAAAAGGGTAGTCCTTGGTCGGTGGGGACTAAGAGGTGAAGGACTCTTGCTACATGGGGGAGAGTGAATGGGCGGGGAGGAGCTGGGTGGTGGAGAGACACTAATGGGTGGAGTGGGGCGGGTGGGTATGGGGGGTCGGATTGCCTGGGGGGATCTAGTATGTGGGGTCTGACTAGGTGAGTCTCTCGTAGTGGGGGATGCTAGCCCTTTGGAAGGCCTAGTTCCCCTCTATGCAAGTCCCTCAAAGTCTTTCTCATCTAAAGCCTCTAAGACCTCGAAGGTGTTCGAGGTCAGAGGTTTCTTCCCCTTGCCTAAAGGGGAAGGTATAGTCTCTCGTGTTCCTTTCTTCCCCCTTGTGCAGGTGGAAGAAGGGCGTCCAGCTGCCGGCGTTCGCCGTGCATGCTATGTCTTAATCCTTGAACTAGGCTTCTCCTATGCCTTCTGAGGTAGGGAAGGTGGAACTGTCGTAGGGGCAATCGACCTCTAAGGATGACGAGCACTCTGAACATCCTTTCTCATTTCGATGAGGTAATCGTCAAATGAGATCGGTACTAAAAAGGCTCGTGTGGTCAGCTGTGGTGTACCTGCCTTCTAGCGGCAGGTGCTGACAGTGTGACCCAAGATAGCACAATGTGTGCAGAAATATAGTAATCTCTTGTAAATGATAGGCTGGTAGAGCTCATCATCTCCACAATGTATAACGAGTGTCTTTTATAGAGGGGCCATTAGGTCCACCTCTATACAAACTTGTGCGTATCCTAGTCGGTTGAACATTTTTACGCCTAGCTCAAGGCATATAAATGTTCCCACCGCATTTGCCAAAGACTCAAGTGCCTTTGACATAAATAAATGGGCAGGTAGGCCAGGAAAGCCCACCCATAATGGAACCGCATGGGGCTGATGTGCTTGGTGCCCTATGTCAGTCTACGGTGTCCATCTATGGGTATGGAGGGTAGACTCTCCCACTGTCCAAGTGGGTCGGCTCCATGCTCGGCGATAGTCTGCTTCTAGCTCAAAGCGGATGTATACACTACGATAGTCTCGAGCTCCGATGAAGACTCGGCCCTAAAAATTTCCAGGTGCCAAGTAAATCCTCTCTATGTCATCTATGGTTGGTCGTTTCGTAGTGAAACGACCAACTAAGGTATGTCGGAATGAGGCTGCCATCTATGAGACCTCTTCATGAGTAAAAGCTATAGTCCTCATCCCATCATCCTCGCTATAGCCTCGCACTAGTACAGTAGTATCATAGTATGGGAATAGTATCTGACGCAATGGTCCTTGTGGCGTGACAGTCTCTGTGGAGCGGATAGAGGGTCTAGACACTCGTTGCGCCCATGATAGGTGTCCAGTAGGCATAGTTGGGTTTGGCCTATGGGGTATAGTAGTGTCCAGCCCACTAGGTGTAGATATGGTGTGCCCAAGGGATGTGTTCGGGGCCAGTACAGAGGTCTCAATTAGTACTAGGATCCTAGCTGGTTTGAGGGGCTTAGTTTGAGAGAGCTTAGAGGGCCCTATAGGTAGGAGTAAAACCGGCCTAATCTATTGACTCGGGACAGGCCTAGAGGACACGGTCGAGGGTGGGCGTAAAGGTCGGCATCCTATCCTCTTTTTGGGCCGCAGGCTCTTGCCCCTAGACATCTTCAAGATAAGTCTATTGGGGTCACCATGGATCGGTCCAAGACTATCTTGGGTGAGCCCATCTAGGCCTCCTTCGGCAAGCCCAATTGGCTCCTTTGGGCCACCCAGTTCAGGCTCCTTTGGGCCTCCCTTGGAAGGTGCAGGTGGCGTACCTTGAGTAGGCCCAAGTGTGCCTTGGGTGGGTGACGAGACTAAATCGTATGGTCGTTGAATGCACACGATTCAGTGTCAAAAAAAGTCCTAATCTTACCAATTTATGATTAATCAAAGTAATTAATTAGTATAATGGTAATTAAGGGTCGAATCCACGGAGAATTAGGGAAATTTGAGAGATATCTTTGAAATTCGGTCAAATCAGACGATGAAATTAGGTTAGAAATTGGGAAATTTAGTATATTAAGAAAGATAACTCAATTTCGAATCCACGGAATAAAAAATCAGGTGATTTGGATGAGAATTCGAAGAGTAATCAAAGTTTGAAGTTAAGAGAAATTTTCGTATCGCGAAATGATTAAAAATAGAAATTAAAACTAAATTAAACTTAATCTACAATACTTAAAGTAAAATTAACACTAAATGATGAAAGATTAAGATGAAAACAAACAATCTAACCCAAATTAGCCTTCGAAATGATCCAATTAATCGCCGGATGCAAGGCTTTTCATTCCGAATTTTCGAAGACGAAAGAGGAGTTCAAGACTTGATTTCTTCCAATTATTTCAATCAAACATTGAAATTAAACATCCAACATAAGCGGAAATGAGTTGCGAACACAATGAAAAATATGGCGTGCGAATTGGAGCTCTAAATAAAGAGAATTTGAAGATTGATCGCGGGCAGTTCTTCCATCGAGAAGAACGGATTTTATAAAATTCGGAAATGATCGTGGCTGTCTGATCTGATGGAGTTGATCGTGATGGACGATCGTGAAGAGACGAATCATCGTGACGATTCGACGATCGTCCGATCGTGATCGTGCGGTTAAGATGTGATTGGATGTCCATCTGATGTGAATAATCTGGACCGTTATAACTCCGATCAGACGGTCGCGATTTATTCACTTAAGTGAGTATTTAGGCATGTGGTTGATCTCTGATCGCGTGGACCTCGATTCCACGTGATCTACGCACGCTATTTGTCGCGATGTCGATCGGACGCACAAGATCACGCCACGCGTCCTGCACATAAGAAAATTAAGGGACTTTAGTCCCACACGGGAAAAACAAAGGAGTATATTTGGGTATATAAGATATGACGATTAAGAGGGATTAATACTTTGTCTTCCGATAATCGGAAGACCTATATACTTTATTAAATAAATATATATAGTAAATATAAATACGCCATGTGTCACATCAGCGCCACGCAGGTGCCCACGTGCTGTCCACGTGGCAGAGCCACGTGGCCCCGAGTACCACGTCGCATCCACGTGTACACGCGCGACATATAACCCCTTTTTGCGATTTTTTAATTAATTTAAAACATTTAAAAATCGAAAATAAATATAAATAAATTCAGAAAAATTCCAGAAAATTCTATAAAATTGTAAAAATCATAACTTTCAAAATACGGCTCCAAATTAATTCAAATTTGTTTTGTTGGATTCAAAATTGAATAATCTACCATTATAAAAGCTCAAATTATTAAAATAAGAAGAGAATAAATTTTAATTAATTTTATAAATTTATGTATTATATAAAATAAATTTATATAAATACATAAATGTTAATAAATATCTTTTCTCTCATATTTTCACTCTTAAAACATGATTATGATCATAAATATAATTAGGATTAAAGATTGTAATGTGTAATTATTTATAATAATCCATAATTTGGTGTATTTTAAGATCATAACATGAATTTACACAAAATGATAGAAATATACTTAAAATATGATAACATGCATATATTTGTAATGATTAATGCCTTAATTTGCATTAATAATTATATAATTACATGCATAAATAGCATGTTATCAGTGGGCCCATTTGGGCCACCTAGCTCAGGCCCCTTTGTGCTTCCCTTAGTGAGCCCAAATGGGTTGCCTTGGGTAGACCTAGGGTTTGGGCCTACCTAGGCAAGAGCTTGGACCAGTGCAGCTTGAGCCAGTTGCTTAGGCTCGGCCTGGGCCACCTAGGCCACTTGGGCCTGGGCCGGTGCGTCCTGAACTGATGTAGCCTCGATGGGCTGGGCCGGCATGGCCTGGGCCAGAGCGGCCTCAGCTGGCACTACTTGGGCCGGCTCAGCCCTAGCCACCTTGCTAGAGGCTCGCACGGGTCGCGCCTATATGGTGCCAGCTGAGCGGGACTTGACACATGATGGTGCAGGGTTTCGTGCGATGCCAACGTCTGTAGTGTTTGACGTTGATGACGTCAGTAGCATCACAGCCGAGGCATCGGCGACCGCAAAAGGTTGCGGTGCCTTTATGGCCACGTGATCCCCTCCGTTGATCTCAAGATCAACGATTGGATCAAGTTGGCCATTGTGCCCGTCACCATCTGAGGGCGGTGCCTCAGTAGCGGCTGCTGAGGCCTTTATAGATGGCTGATTCTGACCATTGATCATATGATCAATGGTTGGATCAGAGGGGGCCTCTTCGCCTGCCGTCGCCTCGCTCCTAGAGGGAGAGTGGACGACGTCAACTACTGCCCCCTCTGATTCGGGCCTCGGGAAGACGCCAGCTGATGTCGAATCACAGACGTCCGTGGTTCGACCGTTCAGCTCATTGACGGCCGTCTCCTCGGTCACATCAACTAGCGGAGAGGGAAGGCAAGGACAGAAGGTCATGACTGCCACGTGTCGGCCTTTTGTTCGCTCGCATTCGTCGAGCGAGTTTTCATTTGGGCGACGGAGGTCACTCGATGAAATCTTTGAGCTACTCATCAGCTAAGCATAAAATCAAAATTATATAGTAGAGAAAATGGTAAATGAGGCAAATACGATTCTATTAAACTAAAAATAATGAAATTTAACCCAGTCAATAGAGATATATTACCTTTAGAGTGAAAACTCCAGAAGTTTATCTTCGCGATGAAGAAATTGCGAAGATCAAACCCAGCTAAGCATCTGGGCTTTAATCCACCGTTTTCGATGCTTAACAGTCGAAACCGATAGTTTTTGGCATTCCGAATCGAATGGAAAACGTTTCAGTGTGATCTGAGGTCACACGAAGAAGATCTCGCCGTTTGCGCTGATTGTGAGGAGAGAGAAGCTCTGATGAGGAGAGAGAAAAAAGTTGAGCAAATGAAGTGGGGTTTAGGGTTTAGGGCCAAACTTCTGGAGATGTCACCCATCTCGATACTTCACACACCCAAGCACTTTGGTGCCTCTTAACTCCGGGGACTTCCCAGGGAGGTCACCCATCTAGGGACTGCTCCCACCCGAGCACACTTAACTCTGGAGTTCTTATGGGATCTGGTGGCAACTCTCCCACTTTTTTTTTTTTTTTTGAGTAAAAGTTGAAAAACTTTGATTGAGTACTAGAAGTTTGACCTCATTCTGAGGTTACATAAGTGGGATCTCATTCGCACAAAGGACGAGGATGAGATGGAGGATTATGGACCTCTTTTGAAGAGAGGATGTGGCAATAGTAGAGATAGACTCCACTGCGGTCATAATGTTTGAAGAAGGTGGTTGATTTGCATTGGGTTGGAAGAGCTATTGAGTTCATGCCTATTGGCATGGTGGCAGGGGTGCCTCTCGACACATTCTTTGGAGCTGGGTGCTTGTTGACATGGTGGCAGAGGGGTTCGTAACACGTGCCTAGTGACACAATAATATAGCGGTGCCTTTCAGCACATGCAGCACAGGTGCCTCGTGGCGCATGCGTACGTACCCGGGGACTTCCTAGGGAGGTCACCCATCTGGGGACTGCTCCCACCCGAGCACACTTAACTCCGGAGTTCTTATGGGATCCGGTGGCAACTCTCTCACTTAGGGGGGTTTTTAGGGTTTAGGGTTTAAGGTTTTTTTTTTGTTTTTTTTGGGGGGGGATAATTGTCTTGGGCTGAACTTCTCAGGAGGTCATCCATCCCGGTACTTCACAAACCCAAGCACTTTGGTGCCTCTCAGCACATTCTTCGGAGATAGGTGCCACTAGTGCCTCTCGGCGTGGTGGCGTAGGGCTGCCTCTTGGCAGGTTCTTCGGAGAAGAGTGCCTGTAGGCACGTTGTTCGTGAGATGGATAGCACATGTGCCTCTTGGCATGATGGCAAGGGTGCCTAGCGGCATGATAATTCAGCGGTGCCTAGCAGCATGATAATGCAGCGGTGCCTGATAAGTTTTCATTATCATGAGTTAATAATTAGTAAATAATATAGTTTTAGCCTTAACTCATGATAAATAGATTTATATTTGTGTTAAGTGTGAAAAGTGGTTTTCAGTTGATTAATGTGATTTTTTAGGTAATTATGTGATTTTACATAAATTTATATGATTTTTACAGTCTTGCTTTTGAGATAAATGAAGAAAAAGAAATAAAAAATAAAAATAAGACAAAATGAGGGGGACCCGCCAGCCAGCCAGGCCCGCAAGCGGGTCGGAAGCTCAGTCGGGGAGTAGCCACGAGCAGGGGCTCGAGCCGCTTGGACCGATAGAGGCACGTGTGTGCCACTCCCTTCCACGTCACCGATGGCCAGCCGACTGTGGGGCAAGGAGTGGTTGTACACGCGAGAGAAGGAACTTTGCTTAGAAAGCTAACATTACTATATATTTGCCTGAAAAATCGACGCACAACCGATGTGGGACTAAACCCGCATTACACCTTCCTCAGAAGGGGCGGACAACCGGCGCGGGTTTGAATCCTACCAGAGTCAAAATTCATATATTTTTATCTAATTATCGCGACTTTCCTGCAGATCTCCGGTGAAGGATTAAGCAACGAGAATCGCTGGATCATCGGCGAAAATCTCGTCAATGCGATTCGCGGAGCATTGCTACTAAAATTGCTGAACGATTTGCGATAAAAGGATCGCGAATCAATTGAGTAAATCATCTCCGATTGATCGACGAACAAGTCGTCGTCTGGAAGAGGACGATCCGCCGAGAGATGAGTCACCACCTCCTGAGAGCGTACTAGATGCGATGAAGAGCCTCCTCTTGTTGTGCGGACCTGAGGATGAAGCTCCCTGACATGTGCCCCACCTCCATCCAGCTTCTCTCTGTCGGGTGACAGCCGTCGGAGAGCTGCAAAGTCGCCGTTTTTCCGCTCTACCGGGTGATAGTCGCCAGAGACAACTCGACGACCCATTTCATTAATCTCTAGACTTTGCAAAAAGATCTAGAGATTGCCCACGTCGTCTTTGTCCAAGGAGAGCCTTCGAGGTCGTGGACACTACACAATGATCCTCCCGAACACTTAGGATTCCGGTGCATCGCCGACGCATCGCCGTCGCGACGCTAGAACTCTATTTTCCTGCTTTTAACTTACTTTACGCTTCATTTAGTGAGACTTTTTGTGATTTTAATTTACCAAAATATACTTTGTTCTATTACGATTCTTCCGGCTTTTACAGATCTTAATTTGATTAATTAAATCGTCTGGAATCGCTTACGTAAGAATTGCCGGGCGGAACCTTATTTCCGCCTGATTTGCGTTCGCCGAGCACTGACGTCATCCTGACGTCCACACCCTTATTTCCTTTTTTTTCGTGAATTTTAAATATATTTCCTTTTCATTTCTTAGTATAAAATTTATAGAAAATAGTATTCTTTGAGGAAAATTCTGAATAATTACCAGATATTATATTACATCCCTGTGATCGACTTGGAAAATTACTGCTATTTTTGGAAGTTTTATGGAATTATAATTGATATATTTATATTACACCTTCATCTTTTTAGCTCATGTTATCTATAGATTGGCATGAAATACATGTTCTACTAAATTTTATAGAATCTCTAATGATTTGTAGGCCAATAAAAACCACACTGAAAAAATTTTACAGCTATTTTTCGTCTAGAGAAATGTCCTCCACAGTTAGATGAATGGCACATGTTAATAATGCTATGATATTCTTTTTCAGGAACACATCTCCTTAAAATTTGATCATTGCCCAAGTAATATAAATCAGGATCATGCCAAAAATAATTTCTAATCTTAGAAAAGAAATGATGTTTTCTATTCTTATCCCACTGGTCTGGAGTTTTTCCAGAAACCAGAAAATTAACAATATGTGCATACCATGGTGATGGTTGATGTTGAGCTGCCATCAATTGTTCATCTGGAAATGCATCTTGTAAAGGTGCTGCATTTATTCCTGTATCACTTAATCTAGAAAGATGGTCAGCAACATCATTCTCGAAACCTTTTTTATCTTTTATTTCTAAGTCAAATTCCTGCAACAATAAAATCCATCTTAATAAACATGGCTTTGCATCTTTCTTATTTAACATATATTTTAATGCTGCATGATCAGTATAAATAATAATTTTAGCTCCCAAAATATATGATCTAAACCTTTCTAACGAAAATACTACAGTTAACAACTCTTTTTCAGTCGTGGTATAATTTAATTGAGCATTGGATATAGTTTTACTAGCATATGAAATTACTATGGGTTTTGACTCTTTTGTTTGTCCTAGAACGGCCCCCACTGCATAATTCGATGCATCACACATTATTTCAAAGGGAAGGGATCAATCAGGAGCTTGTAAAATGGGTGCCTCATTAAGTAATCTTTTTATTTCAGAAAAAGACTCAAAACATTTCTCATCAAAATTAAAAAGTACATCTTTAGATAATAGCATGGTGAGAGGTTTAGAAATTTTTGAAAAATCTTGAATAAATTTTCTGTAATAACCTGCATGACCCAAGAAAGATCTAATCTATTTTACTGAATTTGGAGGTTTCATTTTATATATAATATCCCCTTTTACTCACAATATGACCCAACACAACTCCCTCTTTAACTATAAAATGTGATTTATCCCAACTCAAAACTAATTTTATCTCTATGCATTTCTCAAGTACATGCTGTAAATGATTTAAGCATTCATCAAATGATTCACCAAAAACAGAAAAATCGTCCATAAAAATTTCCATGCATTTTCCAATCATATCAGAAAAAATAGACAGCATACATCTTTGAAATGTGGCTGGAGCATTACACAGACCAAAAGGCATGCGTTTAAAAGCAAAAGTACCAAATGGACAAGTGAAAGTTGTTTTTTCTTGATCTAAAGGGTTTATATCAATTTGATTATAACCAGAGTATTCATCCAGAAAACAAAAAAAGTTTTTTCCAACTAATTTTTCTAGAATTTGATCAGTAAATGGTAGGGGAAAATGATCTTTTCTAGTAACTAAATTTAATTTTTTATAATCAATGCAAACCCTCCAATCGGTAGTTAATCTTGTTTGTATTTCATCCCCATTTTCGTTTTTTATAATCGTGATCCCTGATTTTTTTGGCACTACTTGTGTAGGACTAACCCATTTGCTATCTGAAATAAGATAAATAATAGCAGCAGCCAGCCACTTTAAAATTTCTTTTTTTACAATTTCCATCATGTTAGGATTTAATCTTCGTTGTGGTTCCCTGCTAGTTCTAGCCCCCTCCTCTAGATATATACTATGCATGCATACACTCATATCAATGCCCCTTAGATCGTCCATTTTCCAGCCAGCCTTCTTATTTTTTCGAAGTACATCTAATAATTCTTCTTCCTGTTCATCACTCAAATCAGCTGCAATAATAACAGGAAATGAATTATTTTCCTCCAAAAACATATATTTTAAACTAGAGGAAAGAGGTTTCAACTCTAAATTCAGATGATCTTCCTCTTTCTTTTCTCCCAAATTTATATTCTCTATTTCCTCTAATTCTTCCAGCACATAGTCATCAATAACATCTGGATCATCAAAATCATCTAGAAGATCTATGGTATGACAATCATATACTTGTGATTTCTTAAGATCATTTGGTACCTCAAAAATTTTAATTTCTACTAATTGATCTCCACATGAAATTTTCGCAATACCTATGGGAAAATCAATATTCATCTTTGCTATATGCAAAAATGGTCTCCCTAGGATGATTGGTGTATCATAAAACTGTCTATTAAAATCCATTTCCAGCACTACAAAATTAGCTGGAAATTTACACCCTTTAACTATTACTATCACATTTTCTAAAATACCTTTAGGATGTTTTATGGATCTATCAGCAAATTGTAAGGTAACAGTAGAAGGTTTAAGATCAGAAATATTAAATTTATCACAAATACTTGTAGGTAATAAATTAATACTAGCACCGGTGTCAAGTAATGCATTCTGAAAAATGGATCCACCAATATCACACGAAATTTAAGGGGCACCTGTATCTCTCAATTTATATGGTAATTGATTTAATAATAATGCACTAGCATGCATAGATAATTTTTCTACTCTAGGTGCCCTTTTTGGTGTACACATTTCTTTCAAAACTCTAGCATATTCAAGAATATGTTCAATGGCAGTGAGTAAAGGAAGACTAATTTGCACATCTTATAAAATTTTCTTTATTTCTTCATTGTGTTCCTTTTTCTTTCTTTGTCTAGGCTCTAGAGCTTTAGGAAATGGAATGGTTGTCCTCTCTTTCGAAATTTCCTTGGTAGAATCTATAAAATCCTCTTCTACTCCTATTTGATTTTGTTTTGGGTTGTCCACGTTTTCTTTTTCTTCTAATATTTGGGGATAAGGATCAGGTAAGATCTTACCACTCCTTAATGCATTCACTGTTCTTAACATTTTCATTTCGTGGGTTTTTTCCTAGATTCATGCTACTAGACTCCCCTTGCTGAAATCCTATTGTTGGGCGGTTCCCTGGATTTTCTATGGGCTGACTAGGTAGCTGTCTCTCTTCTCTCTTATTCTCAAGGGCCTCTATAATTTATTTCTGGTGCTGCATCATTTGATTCATAGTTTGTTGCATCATTTGATTCATAGTTTGTTGCATCATTTGGCTCATTTGCTGCATCATTTCCATAGTATCATGTTGGGTTTGAGAGAGTTGATTTTTCTAAAATCTGTTTTCTTGTTTTGGACGAAATTCAGAGTTTGAATTGGGTCTAAGTGATTCTGGATTTTAAATATTATTTGGGTCTCTCCAAGAAAAATTATTCCTCCAATTAGGATTATAAGAATTTGAAAAAGGTTCCCTATTTCTATTAAAACCGTGAGCTACTTGCACTTGTTCTTGCTTAGGGTGAAATGATTGATCTAAATTATAACATTGAAATTCAGAATAATCATTCTAATCATACATAGGACATATACTATTTGAATTAAATTGAGGGTTAAGAGACTTTCTAATATTGTCAATAAGTAAATCAAATTTTTCTAATCTTTGATTAATCTGATTAACCTCATTTCTAAGTTTAGAATCATCATCATGATGCAATTCATAAATTCCTTTCTTCTTATCCCTGTCATATAATTCAAAAGAGGCTTGATCTCTAGAATTTTCACTTAAATTCTCATAAAGACTGTAAATCTCATCAGGGGTTTTCTCCATAAAAGCTCCTCCACATATAGAATCAACCATATTTCTATGTTGTTCTAATAATCCATCATAAAAAATTCTATTGAGCTGCCACTTGGGTATAGCATGATGAGGACACTTTCTAAGTAAATTTTTAAATGTTTCTCATGTCTCATGTAAAGTTTCTCCTGGTCTTTGAGAAAAACTTCATATATGTTTTCTCATATTTTGAGTTTTTCCTAAGGGATAAAATTTTCGAAGAAAGGCCTGTTCTATGTCTTTCCAGCTAGTTAATTCTCTATCTAATGTGGATAGCCAATGGCTAGCTTTGTCCCTAAGTGTATGAGGAAATAATTTCATCTTAATAATTTCTGGTGTAACTTGAGAGAGATTAACTAAATCACAGACCATATGAAATTTTTCTAAGTACTGATGAGGTTCCTTTGAAGGCAATCCATGAAAATTAGGGAGCATTTGAAAATTTTTTGGATTTATTTCGAATTTAATCGTGGGTGCTAATGGGACTCTAATATTTGATGCTCTTTGAAATGAATCAGAGATATAATGATTTTTCATGACCATAGGATTGTTCTCAATTTGACCTGTACTTCCTTCAGGATCCATCAAAATTAATTTTTCTTTCGGATTTTTAGTCTTGAATGAAATAATAAAAGGATTTTCTAGCCTTGGATGCAAGGATCTTCTACCATGCATAAAAAAAAATCAATAAATTCGAGGGAAAAGTTTAGTAATTGTTACCCTCCTTCAGTATGCTCCAGTCCTTGCCTTGTTTCTTTTCGTTCCCTTTTTCTAAAAAAAAAATCAGCAAGAAAAAAATAAAATAAGAGTTAATTTTTTTTGTGTACTCTAAGAGAAAAACAGAAAAATACTAAATATTATGCAATACATCCTCGGCAACGGCGCCAAAATTTGACGTGACTTAGTCGTTGTATATTAAATCACACAAATATAAAATTTATAAAACTAGAAAATACAAATTTTCAGATATTTAGAAGTATTTCTAAATAAATATATCAATTATAATTCCATAAAACTTCCAAAAATAGTAGTAATTTTCCAAGTCGATCACAGGGATGTAATATAATATCTGGTAATTATTCAGAATTTTCCTCAAAGAATATTATTTTCTATAAATTTTATACTAAGAAATGAAAAGGAAATATATTTAAAATTCACGAAAAAAAAGGAAATAAGGGTGCGGACGTCAGGATGACGTCAGTGCTCGGCGAACGTAAATCGGGCGAAAATAAGGTTCCGCCCGGCAATTCTTACGTAAGCGATTCCAGACGATTTAATTAATCAAATTAAGATCTGTAAAAGCCGGAAGAATCGTAATAGAACAAAGTATATTTTGGTAAATTAAAATCACAAAAAGTCTCACTAAATGAAGCGTAAAGTAAGTTAAAAGCAGGAAAATAGAGTTCTAACGTCGCGACGGCGATGCGTCGGCGATGCACCAGAATCTTAAGTGTTCGGGAGGATCATTGTGTAGTGTCCACGGCCTCGAAGGCTCTCCTTGGACAAAGACGACGTGGGCAATCTCTAGATTTTTTCGCGAAGTCTAGAGATTAATGAAATGGGTCGTCGAGTTGTCTCTGGCGACTATCACCCGGCGGAGCGGAAAAACGGCGACTTTGCAGCTCTCCGGCGGCTGTCACCCGACAGAGAGAAGCTGGATGGAGGTGGGGCACATGTTAGGGAGCTTCATCCTCAGGTCCGCACAGCAAGAGGAGGCTCTTCATCGCATCTAGTACGCTCTCAAGAGGTGGTGACTCATCTCTCGGCGGATCGTCCTCTTCCAGACGACGGCTTGTTCGTCGATCAATCGGAGATGATTTACTCAATTGATTCGCGATCCTTTTATCGCAAATCGTTCAGCAATTTTAGTAGCAATGCTCTGCGAATCGCGTTGACGAGATTTTCGCCGATGATCCAGCGATTCTCATTGCTTAATCCTTCACCGGAGATCTGCAGGAATGTCGCGATAATTAGATAAAAATATATGAATTTTGACTCTGGTAGGATTCGAACCCGCGCCGGTTGTCCGCCCCTTCTGAGGAAGGTGTAATGCGGGTTTAGTCCCACATCGGTTGTGCGTCGATTTTTCAGGCAAATATATAGTAATGTTAGCTTTCTAAGCAAAGTTCCTTCTCTCGCGTGTACAACCACTCCTTGCCCCACAGTCGGCTGGCCATCGGTGACGTGGAAGGGAGTGGCACACACGTGCCTCTATCGGTCCAAGCGGCTCGAGCCCCTGCTCGTGGCTACTCCCCGACTGAGCTTCCGACCCGCTTGCAGGCCCGGCTGGCTGGCGAGTCCCCCTTCATTTTGTCTTATTTTTATTTTTTATTTCTTTTTCTTCATTTATCTCAAAAGCAAGACTGTAAAAATCATATAAATTTATGTAAAATCACATAATTACCTAAAAAATCACATTAATCAACTGAAAACCACTTTTCACACTTAACACAAATATAAATCTATTTATCATGAGTTAAGGCTAAAACTATATTATTTACTAATTATTAACTCATGATAATGAAAACTTATCAGGCACCGCTGCATTATCATGCCGCTAGGCACCGCTGAATTATCATGCCGCTAGGCACCCTTGCCATCATGCCAAGAGGCACATGTGCTATCCATCTCACGAACAACGTGCCTACAGGCACTCTTCTCTGAAGAACCTGCCAAGAGGCAGCCCTACGCCACCACGCCGAGAGGCACTAGTGGCACCTATCTCCGAAGAATGTGCTGAGAGGCACCAAAGTGCTTGGGTTTGTGAAGTACCGGGATGGATGACCTCCTGAGAAGTTCAGCCCAAGACAATTATCCCCCCCCAAAAAAAACAAAAAAAAAACCCTAAACCCTAAACCCTAAAAACCCCCCTAAGTGAGAGAGTTGCCACCGGATCCCATAAGAACTCCGGAGTTAAGTGTGCTCGGGTGGGAGCAGTCCCCAAATGGGTGACCTCCCTAGGAAGTCCCCGGGTACGTACGCATGCGCCACGAGGCACCTGTGCTGCATGTGCTGAAAGGCACCGCTATATTATTGTGTCACTAGGCACGTGTTACGAACCCCTCTGCCACCATGTCAACAAGCACCCAGCTCCAAAGAATGTGTCGAGAGGCACCCCTACCACCATGCCAATAGGCATGAACTCAATAGCTCTTCCAACCCAATGCAAATCAACCGCCTTCTTCAAACATTATGACCGTAGTGGAGTCTATCTCTACTATTGCCACATCCTCTCTTCAAAAGAGGTCCATAATCCTCCATCTCATCCTCGTCCTTTGTACGAATGAGATCCCACTTATGTAACCTCAGAATGAGGTCAAACTTCTAGTACTCAATCAAACTTTTTCAACTTTGACTCAAAAAAGAAAAAAAAAGTGGGAGAGTTGCCACCGGATCATGAGTTAATAATTAGTAAATAATATAGTTTAAGCCTTAACTCATGATAAATAGACTTATATTTGTGTTAAAGTATGATTTGTTGTTTTCAGTTGATTAATGTGAATTTTTGGGTAATTATGTGATTTTATACGATTTTTACAATCTTACTTTTGAGATAAATGAAGAACAAGAAATAAAAATAAAAATATTGCAAAATGGGGGGACCCGCCGGCCAGCCGGGCCCGCAAGCAGGTCGGAAGCGCAGTCGGGGAGTAGCCGCGAGCAGGGGCTCGAGCGACTTAGCTTGGACCAATAGGGGCACGTGTGCGCCACTCCCCTTCCACGTCACCGGTGGCTAGCCGGCTGTGGGGGCAAGGAGTGGTCATAGACGCGAGAGAAGGGACTTTGCTTACAAAGCTAACATTACTATATATTTGCTCAAAAAATCGGCACACAACCGATGTGGGACTAAACCTGCGTCACACCTTCCTCAGAGGCGGGTGACCGGCGCGGGTTCGAATCCTTCCAGAGTCAAAATTCATATATTTTTATCTCATTATCGCGACTTTCCTGCAGATCTCCAGTGAAAGATTAAGCAACGAGAATCGCTGGATCATCGGCGAAAATCTCGTCAATGCGATTCACGGAGCATTGCTACTAAAATTGCTAAACGATTCGCGATAAAAGGATCGTGAATCCATCGAGTAAATCATCTCCGATTGATCGACGAACAAGCCGTCGTCGGGAAGAGGACGATCCACCAGGAGACGAGTCGCCACCTCCTGAGAGCGTACCGGATGCGATGAAGAGCCTCCTCTTGCTACGCGGACCTGAGGATGAAGCTCCTTGACATGCGGCCCACCTCCATCCAGCTCTTCTCCGTCAGGTGACAGCCGCCAGAGAGCCGCAAAGTCGCTGTTTTTCCGCTCCGCCGGGTGACAGTCGTCGGAGACGATTCGACGACCCACTTCATTGATCTCTAGACTTCGTGAGAAGATCTAGAGATTGCCCACGTCGTCTTTGTCCAAGGAGAGCCTTCGAGGCCGTGGACACTGCACAACGATCCTCTCGAACGCTCAAGATTCCGGTGCATCGCCGATGCATCGCCGTCGCGACGCCGGAACTCTTTTTTCCTACTTTCAATTTACTTTACGCTTCATTTAGTGATAATTTTTGTGTTTTTAATTCACCAAAATATACTTTGTTCTATTACGATTCTTCCGGCTTTTATAGATCTTAATTTGATCAATTAAATCGTCTGTAATCGCTTACGTAAGAATCGCCGGGTGGAACTCTGTTTCCGTCCGATTCGTGTTCGCCGGGCACTGACGTCATCCTGACGTCCGCGACCTTATTTCCCTTTTTCGTGAATTTTAAATATATTTTCTTTTTATTTCCTAGTATAAAATTCATAGAAAATCGTATTCATTGAGAAAAATGCTGAATAATTACCAGATATTATATTACATCCCTGTGATTGACTTGGAAAATTACCGCTATTTTTGGAAGTTTTATTGAATTATAATTGATATATTTATTTAGAAATACTTCTAAATATCCAAAAATTCGTATTTTCTAGTTTTATAAATTTTATATTTGCGTGATTTAATATACAATGACTGAGTCACGTTAGTGCCTCTCGGCACGTTCTTCAGAGCTGGGGGCATCTTGGCATGGTGGCGGAGGGGTTCGTAACATGTGCCTAGCAGCATGATAATGCAGCGATGCCTTTCAACACATGCACAACAAGCGTCTCGCGACGCATGCGCACGTACCCGAGGACTTCCGAGGGAGGTCACCCATCCGGGGACTGCTCCCACCCAAGCATGCTTAACTCCGGGGTTCTTATGGGATCCGGTGGCAACTCTCCCACTTAGGGGGTTAGGGTTTAGGGTTCAGGGTCTTTTTTTTTTTTTTTTTTTTTGAAAAAAAATTGATTGAGTGCTAGAAGTTTGACCTCATTCTGAGGTTACGTAAGTGAGATCTCATTCGCACAAAGGGCGAGGATGAGATGGGGGATTATGGGCCTCTTTTGAAGAGAGGATTATGGACAATAGTGGAGATAGACTCCACTATGCTCATAATGTTTGAAGAACGCAGCTTGATTTGTAGTGGACTAGAAGAGCCATTGAGTTCATGAAGTTGGAAGATCCGCTCAACAATAGTAGGACGTGTAGACCTCCATGTTGTGCCATGAGGTGTTCCTGCAAAGATAGGAGGTGGCTGTAGTAAGTGGTTCTAAGAAATAAATAAATGATATAAAGTGGTGAGAAAAGAGTGGTTAGGGCAGTGAGGAGGACAGAACTATTCTTGAGCATGACAATAAGCCCAAATATGAACTTGCCTTCCTAGTGTTGCATGCACCTAATCCCTCTAGTCGAGATCTTGCTAGTACCATCAATTGCCGTACTTCCTCTAAGTAGGTAGGTGACCTTTCACCCCACGAAGAATGACTTGGTCTCTTTTTCTAACCCTTTCTTTTCTCTTATTCTCTCTCTCTCTTCTTCTTTTTCTCTCTTTCTCTTCTCTCTCTCCTTTTTGAGGGCCTCTTCTTTCACCCTCCACTAATGCCCATGATTTGGCTAGTGATTAGGGAAGGGAAGTAGGGTTTTTTTTTTTGTTTTTGAGGGCCTTTTCCTCACCCTCCACTAATCGCCTATGATGGGCTAGTGATTCCGGGAAAAGAAGTAGGCTGCCTCTTTTTTTTGAAGAGAGAGAAAGGGAGGGAGAAAGAAATAGAGAATCGAGAGAGAGAGAGAGAGAGAGAGAGAGAGAGAGAGAGAGAGAGAGAGAGAGAGAGAGAGGGTCAATCCTATGGATATAGATCCTTACCTTCTCATGGGTTTAAGCTGGCTAATGGTACTAATGAGATCTTGAGAGAGGTGCTAGGTTGGCAATTCACAACTAATTTGGCAAGTCTGATGTGCTATAGACCTATAGTTCAAAAGTAGGCAGATGCCAAAGATGTGCTAATAGTTCTGTGTCCTCACCGTTTGAGGGTGATAGATAGTAAATGTGAGATGATTATGAGGAGAGTAATGATTGGAAGTGGTGTACCCAGGTGGATTGTGATGTGCTTTGTCGCTCGTCTTGTGCTGATGTCAACGTTGAATTGCTCCAAGCGATATGCCATTGCCTAGGTGTGGCGGTAGAAGCTTTACCTAATACGTAGTGCTGGTATACCGAGTCGCCTAAGCGGTGTCTACCTCGAGCTTCGCAGGCATATCCTGCCAAGAGGTGAAAACAGATCTTAGACGAGTGCATACCGTATGTGTAGCAAGTGCGTCAGCGATTCCTGTAGCTGGTGTGTGATGGCACTGATCATCTCACGACAACGCATGATATCCATCCAGGTGCTCCTAAGTCGCCAATGGGAGCAAGTACCACGCAACATTTCAACTAACACTCTAGAGTCGATTCTAGGACGATACCATGAAGGTTGCGTTCCTCATAGAGGAGCAAACCATCATGGATTGCCATAGCCTCCGCCATGTGTTAATTTGAACGTCGAGTAGTGAGAAAAGGCAAAGATAATACTTCTTGTATGGTCTTGTAAGATGCCTCCTCCCCTACAAGTCCGTGGTTCCCACGTGCTGCCCCGCCTACATTGAGCTTCAGGTGTCCTATCGACGGTGGTCTCCAATAGACAGTCCACATAGTGATCTGTGTATAGGTCCGTAATGCTGGAATTCCCAAGTCTTGAGTGCCTCACAAATAGAGGCCGCGTGTGGCTTACAGGCGACATTAGAGGATGGGCACTCCATAGCCATTGTGTGACGTGCCTCATAATCTCTAAGGCATGCATCGGTCGTCCTGCAAAACGAGAGATTTCGCCCCTTCCATATCTCCCATAACATGTACGCTATGGAAATACGTAGGGGCTACCCCTAGTGCTCTACGGTGAATCAAAGACTCTCTGAAGATCTCTAGGGTGTGAGAGATGGAGGATGATGAAAAGCGGGTGACCAATTCCTTAAGAGTTGGTTTCAACATTCCATAGCAACGACACTATGAAAAATAAGTGATCTATAGTTTCGTTTCTTGGAGTGGTGTGACAACAATGACACCTAGAACATATGTGGTGTCCAAAGGATGGTCATACGGTCATCAGTAGGGAGTCCTCGGTGCATCAATTTCCACATGAAGAAAGAGACTCGAGGTATGATAGCATGATGTCAAATAAGATTTCCCCAAACCTGTTTTAGGGAATGGTTTCTAAAATAGTTCCAAGAAGAACTACAAGAGAAACTCCCATCAAGGGTGAGAGTCCAAATGGCCTCATCATCCCTAGGGCTCAGCTCTATCAATGAGATCTCGGGTAATAAATCTAGGAGAGACCATGCCGCGATGAGCAGTTTAGTATCTCCTCGAGAAGTTGGGCCACCGTGAGTCGGGGCCAAGATGGCGTGAAGGAGGTATAGGAGGCCAAAGGGGTATCTGCAAGCCAAGTGTCGTACCAAGCATTGATAGTGCCTTGTCCCACGCCCACCGGATTAAAGGTTTCATTTGAAGCCAATGTCTCGCCAATCCGCCACCGCTTCCCTCCTTTTATGTCCGCCAGTTGGTTAGCCCACTCGCCATATTTGGCGCAGACAAAGGTCCCTAAGATTGATCTCGTTGTCCTCATCCGCCATACGAGTTTCTTCGAAGCATGTTGAGTATGTCTTCAGGACGCCTAATCCCTAGTCCACCCTCTACCATCGGTCGGCATGCTTTCTCCCAAGAAACTCGCCGCTGGCTTATGAGGTCCATCGAGTTGGCCATCCCACAAAAAGAGGTACATATCCGCCTCACAGATCGTAGGACGGTATCCGTACCTCATGTACTGCTAGTAGATGTAATGGCATACTCATGAGGACATGACGTATCAGTGGATGCGACCTCCTCGAGGATAGAAGCTGAAGTTTCCATCCGCAAGTTTCTTCCTCAACTTGCACAGAAGGGTATCAAAATAATGAGAGGATATCCTCGAGATTTCAATTGGCTAAGAAGAAGGGTTTAGGGTTTAGGGTTTTCTTTTTTTTTGAAATGAAGAAATTTGATTGAGTGCTAGAAGTTTGACCTCTTTCGAGGTTACATAAGTGGGATCTCATTTGCACAAGGGGTGAGGATGACATGGAGGATTAAAGACCTCTTTTGAAGAGGGATGTGATAATACTGAGATAGACTCTAGTGCGCTCATCATATTTGAAGAAGGCAGTTGATTTGCATTGGGCTGGAAGAGCCATTGAGTTCATGAAGTTGGAAGATCCGCCAACAAGTAGTTGGACGTGTAGACCTCCATGTTGTGCGCCATGAGGTATTCCTGCAAGGCAAGAGTTTGCTGCAGTAAGTGGTTCTAAGAAATAAATAAAATGATATAAAGTGGTGAGAAAAGAGTGGTTAGGGTAGTGAGGAGGATAGAACTATGCTGGAGCATGACAATAAGCCTAAATATGAACTTGTCTTCCTAGTGTTGCATGCCTAATCCCTCTGGCCAAGATCTTGTTAGTACCATCAGTTGCCGTACTTCCTCTAAGTAGGTAGGGACCTTTCACCCCACGAGGAATGACTTGGTCTCTTTTTCTAACTCTTTTCTTTTCTCTTATTCTCTCTCTCTCTTCTCTCTCTCTTTTTTTTTGAGGGCCTCTTCTTTTACCCTCCACTAATGCCCATTATTTGGTGTACAAGGGTAATTCCCTTTGGAGTATTAGGCTAGTGATTAGGGAAGGGAAGTAGGTTGCCCCTTATTTATTTATTTATTTATTTTTTTTGAGGGCCCTTTCCTCACCCTCCACTAATTGTCTATGATGGGCTAGTGATTCTAGGAAAAGAAGTAGGCTGGCTCTTTTTTTTGAAGATAGAGAAAGAGAGGGAGAAAGAGAGGGAGAAAGAGAGGGAGAAAGAGAGGGAGAAAGAAATAGAGACTCGAGAGAGAGAGAGAGAGAGGAGAGAGGGTCAGTCCTATGGATATAGATCTTTTACCTTCTCATGGGTTCAAGCTGGCTGATGGTACTAATGAGATCTTGAGAGAGGTGCTAGGTTGGCGATTCACGGCTAGTTTGGCAGGTCTAATGTGCTATAGACCTATAGTTTAAAAGTGGGCAGATGCCAACATGTGCTGATAGTTCTGTGTCCTCACCGCTTGAGGGTGATAGATAGTAGATGTGAGGTGATTATGAGGAGAGTAATGATTGGAAGTAGTGTACCCGGTGGATTATGATGTGCCTTGTTGTCCGCCTTGTGCTGATAGGCAAAGTGCATTCCACATTGGTGGTATGGGATGAGCGCCATGATGATGTCATGGTTGTGGCTTGTGATAGACCTGAAAACGGAAACAAAGGAAACACGCACTGTATCTCGTTGTGGTCTTCAGCGCCAATAGTAGCCACCCCTGGTCTCCTCCAAGCAATACGCCACTACCGTGGAGGGGCTGGTAGTGGAGTGCGGTGTATGCGTAAAGAGGGTATGCCGAGTCGCCAAGTCTATGAGCACCTCAGCTTCGAGGGCATGTCCTGCCAAGAAGAGAAGATTGTCCTCCGACGCGATCTGACTCCATGCGTAGCAAGGGCGTCGGTCGCCCGATTCCCTTCTCGGAATTGATGCGTAATGTTTGTGATGTGCCCTCGACATCGCATGATGTCTGCCCAAATATTCTTGAACCTCCAATGAGGACAAGAGTCTGCACGTAACATGTCCACTAACACTTTGGAATCAAATTCTAAGACAATATTAGTAATATTTTGCTCCTCACAAAGAAGCAAACCATCCCGTATTGCCATAGCCTCTGCCATAGTATTAGTTCAGATATTATAAAAGTTTGAAAAGGCAAAGAGAATGCATCCTGTACTATCGCAGAGGATACCTCCTCCTTCAGATGGTCCCGGGTTGCCTTGAGATGCTCCATCGACATTGAGTTTCCACCGCCAGCCCTCGTGGTGTCCATCTAACAGATCGAATAGTAGTCTAGGTCTGTAGGTATGATATGGAGTCCCCAAAGCCCAAAGCTCACACAAACAAAACGCGAGCGTTTCGCTTTGTTTGGCACTAAGGAATGAGTACTCGAAGCCATTGTGTTATGTGCCTCATAATCTCGTGGCACGCATCACTTGGCCTGCAAATTGAGATGAGTTACGCCCCTTCCATATTTCCTATAACATATATGCTATGGAGATACGGATGAAGGGACTAACCTTGACACTCGTCGGTGAGTCAATGACTCTCCTAAAGACCTCTAGTGGTGGTCTCGTAGGTCTGCACGAGAGCATTGGAAGCCAATTCGCTAGAAGTTGATGCCAACACTCGACAACCATATCACTATGGAAAAATAGATGTTCCATACTTTCGTCCGTCGTGATGGAGCAACAATGACATCTCCTTTCCACCTCCTGATTGGTGACAATCACTCGATCGTCGGTGGGTAGTCCTCGTGCATGAACTTCCACAAGAAGAACGAAACACAAGGTGTGATGGCCGGATGCCATATGAGATTTCCCCAAAATGTCTTTGGGGAGTGGTTTCTAAAGTGCTCCCAAGAGGAGCTACAAGAGAAACCGCCATCTATGGTAAGTGTCCAGATGGGTTGGTCCTCGTGAGGACTCGCCTCACCATGGTGATGGCTGGTAACAAGTCCGACGGTAGTCCATGCCTCTCAATAAGTAGATGAGTGTCTCCTTGGAGAAGTTGGGCTACCGTTAAGCGAGGCCAAGACGATGTGAAAGTGGTAAAACTAGCCAATGGTGTGTCCTCTAGCCAAGTGTTGTACCAGGCACTGATCGCTACCCCACTCGCCAACCAATAAGAGACACCATCTCCAACCAATGTCTCTAACAGTCTGCCCATCGCTTGACTCCTTTGATGTCGGTCGGCTGTCGAGCCCACTCGCCATATTTGGCTGACACAAAAGAGCCTAGCACTGATGGTGTGGTCCTCATCCTCCAAACGAGTTTCTTTTAAAGCATGTTGAGTACATCTTGAGGGCCTAATACTTAGGCCACCCTCATCCGTAGGTCGACATGCTTTCTCCCAAGAAACTCGACGTTGGCGACGAGGTCCCTCAAGTTGTCCATCCCAAAGGAAGGACGTGCATAGCCGCCTAATAGTCAGAAGACGGTGTCTGGTACCTCATGGACTGCCAAAAGGTGTAATGGCATGCTCATGAGGACGTGGCGTATCAACCGATCCGTGGGGATAGAAGTTGTAACTTCCATCTCGCTAGTTTCTTCCTCAACTTGCCCACTAGGGCGTCAAAATAGTGTATGCGCCACGGCCGAGGAAGATAGGACATCCTAGGTAGTCAAAAGGTAAGTGTCCATGAGAGAATCCTGTTATGCCTTGGATGCGTCGTATGATCCCTATGGGGAAGAAGGGCCTACCATGAAGCTACTCTTGAGGCATTTACGAAGTTGACCTACAGCTCGCTCATACCTTGAGATAATACTCATGAGTCCTCTAATGGATGTCTCACATCCATTGAGGAAGAGTATCGCATCATCAGCAAAGAGGGAGTGTGAGATGATCGGACAACCCCTCTTCGAGTAGTATGGTCGGATAAGTCCTTGATTGATCACTCGGGTGAGGGATCGACCGAGGACTTCTTCACCAAGATGAAGAGGGTGGGTGATAGTGGATCGCCTCGTCAGATACCTCTCGTGGCCGTGAAGAATGGCGTGGAGCTACCGCTCACCAATAAAGAGAAATGATTCTCCCTAACACATACATCGACTAAGTCAATGAAGTCGCCAGGAACCCAAAGCATCTAAGAACCTTAATGAGGAAACTCCACTCTATCCTATCAAAGGCCTTCTCCATGTCTAATTTGATGATGATGTTGGAGCCTCGACACCATGGCCAAGGACTGTGCTAGTTCATGTACTAGCATGATGTTATTATGAATGTACCGCCCCTTGACAAATCCAAGATTGCTCGAGATATAAGTCTATCAAGGAAACTACTCAATCTATGTGTAACGATCTTAGATACAACTTTATAACACACGCTATATAAATTGATAGGTCGAAAGTCTCTAAATGAGGTTGGGGTAGTCACCTTCAGTATAAGTGCAAGGAAGGTGGTCTTCCAACTCCGTAAAGACTTTACTTACGAAAAATTTCCTTGATAGCCTGGATGAGATTAGTGCCAACGATATCCCAGCATGAAATGTAAAAATCAGCTGGAAAACCTGCCGGGCCCGGGTGCATGATGTCTGCTCATAGAGAAAACTACTTCCTTGATCTCTTCTCCCGTGGGTATGGCCGCCGTGAGAGAGCTCTCATGGTGAGTGACCAATGATGGGATCGAAGTGAGTATATCATCGAGATCTCAATCGGCTGAGAGGTTAAGAGAGTACGAAGTACTCAACCCCGCATCCCGCATGCGGAAAGGTCCTGATCATATGTCTCTAAAAGAGAGGTATAATCTGAACGTGAGCGGTGAGCTTATCGAGGCATGAAAGAAACGAGTGTTTCTATCACCCTCTTGTAACCACTGGATGCTGATTTCTAGAGATAGAATAACTCCGCCGCCGCACAACCTCATCAAGCTGGTCGCCACTCTACTCCTCCTTTCTCGTGCAGCGCCTCAATATCGAGCTTATAGTAGTCTTTCAACCTCTGCTAACTCCTTTGCAATGCATCAACCTGGTATGGACATTCTCATAGATATGTCAGCCCACCATTTAAGGTGGAATTTGAGATTCCTTAGCCTATAGCTAAGGTTCTCCATAGGAGAATCTGAGATATGTCCGCACTGATTCCGCACGAAACTCTGAAAGTCTTCATGTTGGAGTCACTTGATCTGAAATCTGAAGGGGGTCTGTGGTTGCTCATACTGCTTAGGAATATGAGGATCAGGGTGTGATCTGACCTATAACGGGTAATATCGCGGACTAATATGGGATGTCGCACCATGGCAATGCTATTGATGAAGCAGCGATCGATACGCCATAAATCAAAGCGCCCCTCGATTGGTTCTCCACGCCCATGCCTCGCCGATGTAGGTGGCTCAATAAGAGCTAATCGAAAAATGCAGTCATTGAACGTCTCCATGTTATGGGCCCTAGGGATTCGCCCACCTTGACGCTCACTAGTATTACAAACATAGTTGAAGTCGCCTGCTAGGTATCAAGGAGACTCAACTAGTGTAGGGTAGTCCCTCACGCATCGAACTAGGTCCCCAAAGAGTTTCCTTTTCTTCAGATCTATGTGATGCATAGATGACCGAGAAGGTGAACTCTTGGGTGGGATCTCAAACCGTCATAGTGATATCGAGATCCCTCGACTAGCAACTCCATAGAGTATGGTCTAGTCCAAAAGAGCCAAATATGATTCGTGGGGTTGGAGTGAAAATGATCCATACCCAATCGCCTAAGTAAGGGTTAGATACGATCTGATGATATCATGGGCTCAATGAGGCCTACTATACCTAGTCGGTATCGTCTAATAAGGCTAGCTATATAGAATTGGGTTTCGAGGTTACCTATACCCAAAAATTCCATATGATGCTAGGTATCATGATCTAATGAGTGGCCCCACGAGTCCTAGATCTCGTGGAGTAAGGTGAGCGCCTAGGAGTCGTGTGGTCTTAGCCTCCGGCGATATTCCTCCTCTAGGTAGGTAGTCTCAATGTCAGCCTCGTGATCCACCATCCTCATGGGTACTAGTCGTGTGGCCACTAGTATTATGAACACTAGATGAGGAGGATGGGTGCGGTGCTTGACGATTCCAAGCAACCCGCCATCGTGGCTCTCCCTAGAATCAGTGGGTAGTGGATCAAGTATAGGAAACTGATCTCGGGTGTGGTGGGGAGAGGGGAGGGTATAAGAATCGAAGGGGGCTACGTAAGATGTACTAATAAGAGGTCTGCTGGGGTAGGCCCTCCTAGTAGATCCTCGACGGGATCTGAGGGCGATGGGTAGTGTCCAAGCCTATACCCTCAGAGAAAGGGGTAGACCTCGGTCGGTGGGGACTAAGAGGTGAGGGACTCCTGCCACGTGGGGAAGAGCGAATGGGCGGGAGGAGCTGGGTGGTGGAGAGACACTAATAGGTGGAGAGGGGTGGGTGAGTATGGGGGTCGGATAGCCTGGGGATCTAGTATGTGGGATTTGACTAGGTGAGTCCCTCGTAGTGGGGATGCTAGCCCTTTGGAAGGCCTAGTTCCCTCCTGTGCAGGTCCCTCAAAGTCTCTCTCAACTAAAGCCTCTAAGACCTTGAAGGTGTTCGAGGTCGAGGTTTCTTTCCCTTGCCTAAAGGGAAGGTGTAGCCTCTCGTGTTCCTTTCCCCCGTGTGGGTGGAAGAAGGGCATCCAGCTGCCGCTTTTGCCGCATATGCCGTGTCTCAATCATCGAACTAGGCTTCTCCAAAGGCTTCCGAGGTAGGGAGGTGGAGCCGTCATAGGGGCAATTGACCTCCGAGGATGACGAGCACTCTGAGCATCCTTTCTCATTTCGACGAGGTAATCGCCATATAAGATCGGTACTAAAAGGCTCGTGTGGTCACCGTGGTGTACCCGCCTTCGATGGCATGTGCTGACAATGTGGCCCAAGATAGCACAATGTGTGCAGAAATATGGTAATCTCGTAAATGATAGGCTGGTAGAGCTCATCATCTCCACAACGTATAATGAGAGTCCTCTCAGAGGGGCCATTAGGTCCACCTCTATACAAACTCGTGCGTATCCGGCGGTTGAACATTTTATGCCCGGTCAAGGCATATGAATGTTCCCATCGTGATTTGCCAAAGACTCAAATGTCTTTGGCGAAATAAATGAGTAGGTAAGCCGTGGAAGCCCACCCATATTGGAACCGCATGGGGCTGATGTGCTCGATACCCTATGTCGGTCTACAAAGGTCCATCTATGGGTATGGAGGGTAGACTCTCCCACTGCCCAAGTGGGTCGGCTCCATGCTCGGCGATAGTCCGCTTCTAGCTCAAAGCAGATGTATACACTACGATAGTCTCGAGCTCCGATGGAGACTCGGCCCTAGAAATTTCCAGGTGCCAAGTAAATCCTCTCTATGTCACCTATGGTTGGTCGTTTCAGAGTGAAACGACTAACTAAGGTATGTCGAAAGGCGGCTGCCATCCGTGAGACCTCCTCATGAGTAAAAGCTATGGTCCTCATTCCATCATCTTTGCTATAGCCTCGACTAGGACAGTGGGTATCATAGAATGAGAATAGTATCGATGCAGGGTCCATGTGGCGGACAGTCTCTGGAGGGGACAGAGGGTCTAGACACTCGCTGCCCATGATAGGTGTCCAATGGGCATAGTCGAAGTTTAGCCTATGGGGCACAGAGTGTCCAGCCCACTAGGTGTAGATATGGTGTGCCCAAGGGTATTAGGGTCACCATGGATTGGTCCAAGACTATCCTAGGTGAGCCCATCCGGCCTCCTTTGGCGGCCAATTTAGCTCCTTTGGGCCACCTAGTTCAGGCTCCTTTGGGCCTCCCTTGGTAGGCGCAGTGCCGCACCTTGAGTAGGCCCAAGTGTGCCTTGGGTGGGCCCATTTGGGCCACCCAGCTCAGCCCCTTTGGGCTTCCCTGAGCCCAAATGAGTTGCCTTGTGTAGACCCGTGGTTTGGGCCTACCCGGCAAGAGCTTGACCGGTACAGCCCGAGCCGGCTGCTCGTGCTCGCCCGGCCACCGGCTGGCCAAGCCCGAGCCGGGCGCAGCCTCGATGGGCTGGGCCGGCATGGCCTGGCTAGAGCGGCCTCGATGGCACTACAGGCCGCTCGCTAGCCACCTTGCCGAGGCTCGCACAAAGCCGCTACCAGATGGTGCCAACTGGCGTGGCTCGCACGCGATTGTGCAGGTTCCGCGCGATGCCAACGCCGGGCGGCCCGACGCTGATGACGCCGAGCGCCCCAGCCGAGGTATCGGCGACCGCAAAGGTTGTGGCGCCTTTATGGCCACGTGATCCCCTCCGCTGATCTTAAGATCAACGGTGGATCAAGTTGGCCGCTGTGCTGGTCACCGCCCGAGGGCGGTGCCTCGTAACGCTGCCGAGGCCTTTATAGCCGGTTGATTCTGACCATTGATCATACGATCAATGGTTGGATCGAGGGGCCTTTT